AGCTTTTCTGGTAAAGATTCCACACATTCCCAGGTAGCGTGTTTAATATCTCACAATTAAGAGGGCTCAATTTATGTTGAATAGAGATTTACGCCCCAAAACCAACTTCTTCCTCAATGCCATCTTACCTTAGTTTCTTTTCTTTTCTTGTAATAATATATGCAATCAGCCTTGAGTTTTAAGTCTTGTTTTTTTTTTTTGTTTTTTTTTTGAGATGGAGTTTTGCTCTTGTTGCCCAGGCTGGAGTGCAATGGCATGATCTTGGCTCACTGCAACCTCCATGTCCCAGGTTCAAGCGATTCTCCTGCCTCAGCCTCCCGAGTAGCTGGGATTACCTGCCTGTGCCACCTTGCCCAGCTAACTTTTGTATTTTTAGTAGAGACAGGGTTTCACCATGTTGGCCAGGCTAGTCTCAAACTCCTGACCTCAGGTGATCCGTCCGCCTTGGCCTCCCAAAGTGCTGGGATTACAGGTATCAGTCACCTGATCCGGCCAAGATTTCTTAATCAGTGGTGATAATTGTTTTTGTTTCACCGGTAACTCATTCAGGTGAAACTCATTCAGTTTTATAAGACAAACATCAAGGAATCCAATGGAAAATGAGGTGAAGGCATAAAATAGCAATTTATACAAGAGGAAACAAAAAGAGCACAGCAACACATGGAATAAATCGACTGCTTTACTAGGGATAAAAAGTACAAATAACCGTTAAATTAGTTATTTTTTCCTGTAATCTAATAGCTCCCAGTGTTTGTGAGATTACGGTAAAATGATTCCCTGCTGATGGTAGTGAAACTTTTGCAAAGTATTATAGCATGCATATCAGGAGCCATAAAAATGATCATACCCTTATACCCTATGCCTTTGTTCCTGGAAATTATCCAAAGAAATAATTGAATAGGGGGAAAAACCCTAAGACCTAGATTAATGAAAATGTTAATTGCAGTGTTATCTATAATGTTTTACAATTTTTTGAATAAAGAGAAGCAATGTAACTGTTAAACACCAGAGAACCAATTGGACAAATGTTGGTGTATGGACTCAACATACAGTACTATGTAGCCATTTTAAATGATCATTAATAGAATTGTGTGATATTATAAAAGTTCTTATGCTATAACATGAGCTATAAGAAACTAGAATACAAAATTGCATATTACAATTGACCTGTGAAAATTAATATGTACATGAACAAAACCGAAAGATAGTGTACAAAATAAAAATGCTCTTCTAGTTTAGTGGGGTTGTAGGTCATTTCTTTTCCTTTCTCAGAGCTTTCTTTAAACTGGTGTTATATTGTCTTAGTTGTTTAAAAGAATAGGTTAAAACAAAACGGCACAGGCAGTCTGAGCTGGGGATTGAGAGTTAAAGGACCTGAGTTTTCTTCTTTTTTGTTTCCCAACATAATGTGTTTTGGCTGTCATTAACCTCAGTTTCTCCATCTGCACGATGGGTTAACACTAGTTTTCTTTACCCCAGATTGACAGAATATTTATTTTTATAATGCTTTTAACTCATTGAATGCAAGGATTCATATAAATTTGGTCCTGGGAGAATGAAGGGCAGGAGGGAAAGGAAAAAATAAATAGGCATAATTAATTTTAAAAGGAAAGATCATCTGCTTTAATCGGAAATGTATGTGTACTGTGTCCCTAGTCAGAGTTTTAAGTGCACTTCGTGTTAGTTAGCAACTTCAATTTAAAGTGCTGTGTGATCCTCTGGGCTTTGAAGATATGAAGCCTCTATACATACACATGAGCTAAAATTACCGCATAATCACGAGGATGTGTGCACTTTGAATAATTAAATGCACTAAGCATCTCCAGCTGATGGATTGATGATGTGGGAGAGTAGTGCAAAAACCACATGACACGGAAGATTACAAGACATTTTGAAATGATAGCTGAATTTTCAACCTTTTTTTTTGGTTTGCTTGTGCTTTCTCTTTTAGCCATTATGGTCAAGTAAAAGAGATCTGATTATCTTGTTTCCTGTGAAAGGTTATTTAGCCCCTCAATCCCATTAAGTCACTTTCTGCACTCCAGTGCACTGAGCCTTGGTCGGGTTATCAGCCCAGGAAGAGTAAATGGAGACACCAGGATCGGATTTCTAAAGGAAGGAGAGTTAAAGCAAAGTTTGAAAGGGGTGACAGCCAACAGCCACGAGCTTAGGAACTCAATTAGACTAAAAAGACAACTATCTCATTATCTCGTTCCGAAATGATCTAAATACATAAGAATCTAAAAGTTTTAAATAAACTTGTCCTGCCGACTGTCTAGATGACTGAATTTCCCTTCTCAAAAAATTTTTAAACACCCGCTTTCATATTTATTTATTCTAAGCGTGAAGCAGCTGCGATAATTATGCTGTCAGCCTTGGGAAGCTAATGAGGAGCCACCAGAGTGGAAGGTTTTGCATTTGTGAGATTGCTGAAGGAGAGCCGTGTACAGCTTTTTTCGTTTTTTCTTTCCCTTTCTTTCTTTCTTCCTCCTTTTTCTTTTTCTATGAGTTGGGAAGGAGAGTCTGGCAGTCCACCGCCAAATTGGAATCCTTTTGATTAACCGGTTGCCTTCCCAGCATGTTCTGCCAGATAGTGTCTCTCTCTCTCTCTCTCCCTGCTTTTGAGGAGCTGCTGCTTTTAAGGGGCAAGGAAGTCGAAGGGAAATCCCAGCTTTTCATGCCACTGTCCCCAAGGCAAGAGGATACTTCTCCCCGAGAGAAGTTCCCCAAATGGTTTGGATTTGAGTTGATTTGAGAATAATCGGTAAAGTATACGCACTGTTTATTTTAGCCGTTTAACTGTCTATACTATGACAAGATCTAAAATAAAGTAGAATACAAAATTGCATATTATAATGTCCTTGTGAAAGAGTCTTATACATATCAACAAATGGTATGATGGCTCCCCTTTCCAGCCTAGCCAATATGCGATTCCAAATACAAGAAGACCAGACCCCAGATTACCCACAGCATTTAAGGGCACGAGTTTAGGCCAGGCGAGGCAGAGCTGGCAAGTTTCTTTCTTTTTTTTTTTTTGAGACGGAGTCTCGCTCTGTCGCCCAGGCTGGAGTGCAGTGGCCAGATCTCAGCTCACTGCAAGCTCCGCCTCCCGGGTTTACGCCATTCTCCTGCCTCAGCCTCCCGAGTAGCTGGGACTACAGGCGCCCGCCACCGCGCCCGGCTAGTTTTTTGTATTTTTTAGTAGAGACGGGGTTTCACCATGTTAGCCAGGATGGTCTCGATCTCCTGACCTCGTGATCCGCCCGTCTCGGCCTCCCAAAGTGCTGGGATTACAGGCTTGAGCCACCGCGCCCGGCCTAGCAAGTTTATTTCTTCCCTTTGGGTGTGAGCAGCTTCCAGCAAACAGTACTATTAAGGCATTTTATGCTTTTGGTGCACTAAGGACAGAAGCCTCTCTTTTTGTTAAATTGTGAGATATTTTGAGCAACCCAGGTTTATGCAAATTGTGAACCTGGGAAAAGCAATGCCCAAGTTGAAGGGGGCCCTGAGCAAATTTTGTGGATGTGCTTTGGCGACAATGTGGCTGCTGCCTCTTGCTATTTTTCTCAGATATCTGCGCTAATACTTGTAACAATGGCTACCATTTATTAAAAACATATTGTGTATCAGAAACTAACACAAGGTGTTTTGCATATATTGTGTTATTTAAGCTTACAGCAATCTGCCAGGAAGTTTTATTTTCCCCACTTTTCAGATAAGCCCCTTGCAATGTCAGCTTTTGGAGGAGTTGGCCCATAGCTTTAGTGTAGTGAGCATTCAGGAGTAGCAAGCACTTAACAAACACAGACACTTGGGAAAATGTGAACTGCCAGTATTCTGAGCTAACCAAATACCTGATTTGGACATCAAAGGTAGTATATATATTTTCAAATGGTTGTGTTTTTTTTGTTTGTTTTTTTGTTTTTGTTTTTGTTTTCAATTTGGAAGTTGCACCTTAGAGTCTATATAAATAGATTTCCAGCTGGGCACCGTGGCTCACGCCTATAATCTCAGCACTTTGGGAGGCTGAGGCAGGTGGATCACCTGAGGTCAGGAGTTCAAGACCAGCCTGGCCAACATGGTGAAACCCTGTCTCTATTAAAAATACAAAAATTAGCCAGATGTGGTGGTGCTTGCCTGTAATCCCAGCTACTGCAAGACTGAGGCAGGAGAATCACTTGAACCTGTGAGGTGGAGGTTGCAGTGAGCCGAGATTGCACCATTGCACTCCAGCCTGGGCAACAGAGCGAGACTCTGTCTCAAAAAAAAAAAAAAAAAAAAAGTTGCCTAATGTATCTAATAAGATTGGAAACTTTCTAAAACGTATCTAGCTCAGCGTGATGCTCATTGTCTATCACTCTCTAACTAACATCACCCTCTAACGTCCGGACTCCTTGACATGACATTAGCTCCCTTCGCTATCTGGTTCCGACCATTTTTCCAACTTTATCTCCCAGTCTGTCTTGTTCTAACCATGCAAGATGACTTGCAGTTCCCTCAAACACTTTTCTTCCTTCATGTCTTTTCTCATGCTGATCCCTCAACCGGGAATATCCTCCTTGGCAGTCCTTTACTATGGAGGGCATAGTCATCCTTCAGGTCTCAAAGGGCACCTTGTCTATGCTCTCCTTGTCCATAGACTGGAGGGAGGGGTTATCATAAGCCTTTGTTTGTGCCTCACTTTTGGTCCTTGTTTGTATGTGTATGTGTGTGTTCCTCCCAGTTTTATTCCTATTTTTATCATCTTCAACACATAGCATATTGCCTTGCACAAGTGTTCACTTGGTAAATATGCATTAAATTGAATTAAATAGAAGGCACTTGCCAACTATTGGATTCAGTAAAGTGAGTCATCTATGAGTCAGTATGAATTATTAGTAAATAAGTCTGGCTCATGCTTTGACATTTCTTCAGGTGACAAATATTACAACAGACAAAAATATACCACAAAAGATCCCAGGAAATAACATATTGGTGCTTCTCTCTTTTCATTCCTACAGAGGAGTCTTTGTTTACAGTTTCAGGAGTGAGGCTCAAGCCAGAAATGTGTGACCTTTTGGCCTCCTACCAGAAAGGTCACCACCCAGCCTAGTTTAGCAAACGCTGATGAAAAGAAAGGGCGAGATCACCAAGGTTCTTCCAGGTAAGTGATTGCAACAGTGAGGTTCCTTATGGACAAAATTGAAATGCAATTGGTGCCAAGTGGAGAGGACATTGCTCAGGGATTCAGAGCACCTCTGTGCTGTTTCTAGTTCTTCCTCGCCAACTCTAGGACAGGTGGCCTTGCTTCTTCAGGCCTCCATTGCCTGGGCTGGGCAAAGAGAATAATTACATGCGTTGCCTGTCTCTTCCACTCCTGGAGCAGGGATAAAGTTCCTAAGACAGAACTTCTAAGCTTCCTCATCAGTGTGAAATCTTCAGCTGACACAGCTGGGATGAAGGATTAGAACTGTTTTCCCTTAACTAGGGAGTTCTCACTGTCAACTGACGGGGCAAAATTTGTCCTGATAAGGGTAACCAACTGTCCAAGTTTTCCCCAAGACCAAGGGGTTTCCTGGCTGTAGGATGCTCAGTACTAGAATTGGCACAGTCCTGGGTAAACCAGGATGGTCGGTCACTTTTGTGGCACAAATTACCTTCCAGGGTAATCTTGAGTAGGAAGGGGTGCTGTGAATGATTTTCCCAAAGCCACTATACCCCTTAAATGAGTACTGCTAGCAGGCACAGGAAGCCAGGTGGGACAACTCCAAAAGTCACCATAGTATAGACAACCCTGCAGATGTCTCAAGAGCACTTCCCATACTGGGGCTTCCATGATGGTAGATGGAATCAAGATAGAGGAATCAAGGTAGAGCCCACATGCAGAGCCTGCCAGCCAGCCTGCCCGCCCGTTAGGTGACCCTGGCTATATTCCAAACCACAAGCATTATCCTATGATTTGGCCACCCATTTGACAACCACAGCTTGGCCATATTTCCCAGGGGCCTAGATGGTAACCACTGGCATCTCCCTACACACCCCCGAACACTATCACTCACATGGCTGGATTCACTCTTCATTCTTTCTTTTGATCTCTATCTTTGGCTGTCACGATTTAAAGGCATATACACGTTAAAGATATCTGCTTCCTGGCTCTTCCAAGATCATTGTCTTGTCTTCAAAGAGCAGGGAAGTTTTAAAATTGTAGCTGATCCTCAGGGCATTTTATGAAATACCTAAGTTTGTATTTTGACAATACACATTTAGAATTATAATTGGTGATATAATATGGTATTTCCCAAGCAAAATATTCTCTAGAGCAGAGCTTTCACTGTATAATTATTTTAAACCTGCTAGTTACAAGGACAGAATGAACTTTAGCCACATTCTGTGAAGTGGAGGGCTTATCCTTCATAAAATTATCAAAGACACTAATGGAAATGGACTCAGATGGTGGTGCTCCATTAACATTATTATTATTTCTATTGTTGTTATTTTATTTTATTAAGCAACTGGAAGGTAGGGAGATAACCTTACCTTTCTGATCTACAGTGACCTTCCACAAAGAATTGTTACCTGTAGACATAAATTGGTTACAATAGAAAATCAGTTAAATGCAGCGTGTCAAGTTTGTGGGCTGCACCAGCAATTGAAGAAGGGAGAAGGCAGATTTCGCCTCTGCTGGAGTAATCTCACGATGTCCCTAGGCCTTGGTACGAATATAAGGAGATAAAACCGAGATGAGCCACAAGAGGGAAAAGCTAGAGCAATTAAACTGTTTAATAAATGGCTTGGGATCAGCAAAATCTAGAGTGCTAGAGTTAAAGAGACTAAAAGCAGTAATCACATGGACACTTGGGGCCTGTAAATCTTTTCCAGTGAATTGAATTTATGTTAAAATATTCACTTTTCAGGAGAGTCAAAATGTAAATTGGGATATTAGGACTTCGTAACTGGCAGCAATGCCTCAAAATTAAGATTCTTGAAAGAGCTTCAAAATGTTGGTTTCAGGCAGGGAAGAAATGTATACTAATGTCTACAACAGAGAAATAGAGGGGAACTAAAATTTACTGGATAGATACTACACACCAGGCAATACAGTAAGGGCTTTACACCTACTCTTTCAAAGCTCAGCATGTTTTGAGCAGTCGGTGGTGAGTTACAATGATAGTTTATAGAATCTATCTGGAGATAGATTCTGATTATTTGTAAAGCTTTCTCAGTTCTTATAACCAGGGTTAAGATGCTGCCTCCCTTATGCTTTATCATTACCTTTTCTATTAAGATATATAATGCCATCAATAACTTTGCAATGTTTAACTATTTTCCTTCATCAATACTCTGTTGTTCATTATTTTGATTGTGTTTATTTTTCATTCACTTCCAGGGCTGTATTTCTGCAGTTTTGATTTTCATTTGCTTCAGCCTACTAAGAAGTTTCAAATATAACTCCATACTGAACAAGGGGTTTTATGCCCTCACCTATGACCTGGAATAGTTTAAATATGATGTTCGAGGCAACAGTACATAATACTGGAGGAAAACGCAATGGAAGGTTATTGCTATTGTTATTTGCCTAGAATTTAAGTGATTGATTTTAAAAAATTAGACATAAACTAAGATAGTCTGAGAAGAGGACTTCTGAATAATTTCATTCATTTTGCCATTTGATAAGAGATTCCTGGGCTAGAAGGTTGATTTCCCAAAAAGACAGATAAGAGACTGATAATGTGACAAGAATCTGGAGACAGAGCTGGTGCTTACAGAGACCTGCCACTCCTGTGTTCGCTTACAGTGTCTCCCAGCAAAAGGATTTCTGTGGCAAAGAGAAAACTAGTCTAAAGTTTAGAAAAGTCTCCAGGGAAGACGGTTTCTTGGATAACATTGTCAACAACAGGACTTCCTGAGGACTATTTATTATTATTTCGTAGGGGGCACTTCCTCACTCACTAAAGTGGATTATCAGAGCATACTACCACTCAACCCATATTTTAGGAATTTGGATTTGGCTGCTGATTAGAATGGAATTTCAGGCTATCTCCTCCTACTGAATCTCAATTGTCTGTGATGATGGCAACAGTGATGGGGAATCTAAGCACTGGTTTGATGGTGGAGATATTGAATAAATAGATGGGAGCAGAGTTCCAAAGATATAATTTAAGCCCTGTTATACCACCACCACCACCACCACACACACACACACACACACCCCTCAAGTAAAATGAGAGATCTGTCTTAGCTAACATGTGTGCCGTTTTATACAATGACTCCTTCTAAAAGAAGCCAGGGAAACTCAAATCACTTCTGTCTATGGATCATCTCAGGAAATGTAGTAGCCTAGAAACCAGAGACCTCTGTATATTCTTTGGAAGAACAAGGAGGAACTAATTAAGAGAGAATTAAAAAATAGTAACTATCCCCCACCGTCTGAGATGGGAAAAGGAAAAAGACACATAGGTAGCCCAAATCAACCTGCCTGAGTAAGTATTTGATTTTAGTAAGGCATTTGACAAAGCCTGTCCAACTGTACCTGAAAGATGAAACGGTGTGGGTTGGGTGATGGAGCAGATACATGTACTCAAATCATGGTAGTTATTTAACCCAGAGAAAGGCCAGCTGTGGTGTGCTACAACGTTCAGTCTTGAGTCCTATTCTGGTCAAATATTTTTATTAATTACTTGAATAAATCAGAGTACTTGGACAACTTATTCATACAACTGCTTAGAGTAAGTACTATTATTATTAATTTATGACTTCCATTTCACAAAAGGCGAGACTGAGGCTCAGTGAAGTTAAATAACTCCTTCATAGTAGCATGCCAGACTTAAGATGCAAACCTCAGACCTGGCTTTCCAATGTTCCTGATACCTATCAAATTTAGAGAATATGTAACTCTTGCAGAGGCAGCTGCTATTTAGTATTGGATCACAATTCAAAAGACACCTTGCTAGAAGCCAATGAACAGCAGGCCAAAACAACGCTTATTTCCATCAAATTTCATCTGACTTAAATTCTTACACTTTGGGCTACAACTTAAAAAAAAGGCTGTGACTTAGTGGAAATTGGCACTTTTAAGTACAATATGAATTAATAGTATAATTTCGCTGTCCCCCAAAGATAATGCTAGTACCAATTGAAAGCTCAGGGATGCTACCGTTGACGCATCAGCAAGAGTTCTTGAGCAGCTTCACCTGTCCATCAGTACACTGAGTTCCCACAACAGGAGTGGGATTCCTCTGCCTCCCTGAAGATATGAGAGCTGTAGGAGGGATTCCCATGTTGGAGGTTAGAACAGCTGACCTCCAGTGTCCCATCTAATTCCAAGATTCTCCAATAATGAGTTTGGAACAGCTGTGGACAGACTATACTTGGAATTATGGTTAGATACTATTGCTGCAGGAATGGATAGACAAATTTGGTTTTTTAAAAATTGATTTTATTACGTGGAAGTTGACAGAATTATCCTCTTTATAATGGAAGATACATTATGCTTATGCATATGCATATACATTATGCATATGATTATGCTTGTGCTTCCTTCTTTAATGGATTTACCTATTCAAAAGCTTAATAAAAAGTATAAGACTCTAAAACATTTAAATCTTTCATTTCTCAGTTTTATCAAATAAACATTCCTGGAATTTGTGCATATTTTTTCATCCCATGTTTTTGTTGTTTCTTCTGTATAGACAAACACCAGACTTTTAAAAACATAATTTATTTTTGTTCAGTTTGAGGCACTAGTTATTTTAGTAATGCTTACTTAGCCACTAGTGCTATTCACCTAATATTTCTGTCTTCCAGGCATCCATAATGCGGTGGCACTTCTTGGCTCTCGCATGGCTGGATATGGCCATGTGGTTAGTTCTAGCCAATGAATTGTGAGGGGAGGTGATCTGTGTCACTTCTGAGCCAAGCATTCATTTGATTGCCAGCATAAGACCCTCCAAATTTCTTTCCTTTTTTTTTTTTGTTGTTTTGTTTTTTGAGATGGGGTCTCACCATGTGGCCTAGGCTGGTGTGCAGCAACTATTCACAGGTTATGATCATCACACACTGCAGCCTCAAACTCCTGGTCTCAAGCAATCCTCCTACCTCAGCCTCCCAAGTAGCCAGGACTACAGGTGTGCACCACCACATCTGACTCAAATTTCTTTTTACTTTTCCCTCGGTTCCAGTGACCAGGAGTGTTTAAGATGATCCCAGAATGAGGAGATGTAGAATAGAATTCCTGGATGACATATGATGAAGGTGTGGTGGAAGAGAGAAGTAAAACTTTATTGTTTTAAGCCGCTAAAGTTTAAGATGATCCCAGAATGAGGAGATGTAGAACAGAGTTCCCGGATGACATATGATGAAGGTGTAGTGAAAGAGAGAAGTAAAACTTTCTTGTTTTAAGCCACTAATATTTTGAGGTTATTTGTTACTATAGTGTAACTAGTCTATCCTGACTGCTACCAGGACACATAAAACACACACCTGCACTATCCAACGTGGGAGCTACTAGGAACATGTGACCATTTATATTTACATTTGAATTAATTATTAAATTAAATTTAAAAATCAGTTTCTCAGTCAATGTTCAATAGCTCTGAGGCTGGTGGCTGCCATATTGCATGATGCAGCTACAGAACATTTCTATTATTGCAGAAAGTTCTATTGAACGGTGCTGACATAGAGTGTCAGGATTTATGTGAAAGATGATAGTGATGTCTTCTAACATTTCTTGATATTTTAAGTGTGCATTTAATACCACCTTGAAGTTAGTCTCGAAAGGTTTTGCCTTTTAAAAATAAAATCTCTGAGAGCCTCCAGTGGATGCTGGAAGAAAATAAATCACTCTGAAAAGTTACGCTTCTTAGAACCAAATAACTCAGAAGGTCTTTTCCTGAAGGTTACATTGACAGAGAAGATGAACACCTTTTGTTTAGTTTTGACACTTTTCATTAATAAATTCCGAGGGCAGTTTTATTTTGGTCCATCCTCCCTGATTTTCTGCATGTTTTCTACTTCTAACTCTTCTCTATCCCTAAGTGGGTTGATGTGCACCTGATGTAAGATCTCATGTGCTCAGTAATGAAATCATCCAAGTTTATTATCATCCTTGTACACAATTGTTTCTATTGTAAGAACTATTAATATCATTGGATATTACAAGAAAATCTTGTAAGTAGACCAAAATGGAACTAAGATATAAAATAATCCTTCTCATTAATTATTCAACAAACATCCAGGCAATAGAAATACAAAGATTAACAGTTTCCCCAAGGATCATATAGTCTAATGGAGAGTTAGCTTTAAATAAATATAAGATCCAATGACAACATATCAATCTACCCTGTCACAGAAGAGATGATGTAGGCTTTGTCTTGAAGGGAGAGTGTGCCAGGCAGACAATTGAAGGGATAAGAAGATCCCCAATGTAAGGGTGTTATAGAAAGGACAGGAGCTGGGAGAGGTGACATGAACCTGTATTTCCAGCTACTCAGGAGACTGAGGTAGGAGGATCCCTTGAGCCTAGGAGTTTGAGGCTGCCTGGGCAATACAGCAAGACTCCATCTCTAAAAAATAATAATAATAATAAAACTAATAAAAAAGAAAGAACAGGTTGTTTGGGGTTGTAAGGAATTGAAAACCCCAATTCAATGGCTTAACCCACAAGGGCATTATTTTACATAAGAAGCCTAGAAGTAGGTGGTTCCAAGATTGATTCATTTGATGGGTCGATGACATCACAGGGACGTAGGGTCTTTCTATCTTCCTTCAGTGCATCTTCAGTGTCCTTCATTGCCTTAGTCCTCAGGCTGGTTCCTATCATGGTCACAAGATCCTGCCACAATTCCCAGCATCACATGCAGACATGTCTACATCCAGTTGAAGAAGAGACCATCTCTTCCTGTATGCTTCACTTTAAAAGAAAGCACAGGCCAAGAGCAGTGGTTCACACCTGTAATCCCAGCACTTTGGGATGCTGAGGCGGGTGGATCACGGGGTCAGGAGTTCAAGACCAGCCTGGCCAAGATGGTGAAACCCCATCTCTACTAAAACTACAAAAATTAGCTGGCCGTGTTGGCAGGTGCCTGTAATCCCAGCTATTCAGGAGGCTGAGGCAGGAGAATTGCTTGAACCTGGGTGGCAGAGGTTGCAGTGAACCGAGATCGTGCCACTGCACTCCAGCTTGGGTGACAGAGTGAGACTATCTCAACAACAACAACAAAAAAAAAGAAAAAAAGAAAGTACAGTTCTCTTTATATCTTACTGATCAGACTGTCACATACCTGCTTCTGAAATGCTAGCAAGGGGAATTCGATGGCTGCTTTAGAATGTTCAGGATTTCCTCCTGATCTGAAGCTAGGACCACCTCTCCTGAGGGGCAAATTCCTAAATAGTCATGACAACCTATCGGTCTGCCCTATCACAGAGGAGATAACTGAGGAAGAAGTGGGTACAGACTGTTGGGCAGACAACCAATAGAATCTGCCACAGCAACTAATTGACCGTGGGGCTGTGTGGTGTTGGGCAGGGGCAGTGGGAGGTGAAGAATGGGCATAAGGTTTCCAATCTGGGGGCCTGGACGGCTTGTTACAACATTCACAGTTGGGTACTTCCTTTGAGAGAGACAGTTATGAGCTCACTTCTAGACATCTTGAGTTTGAGGTACTGGTGTGCATAAGATGATTAGAACTGCCAGCCTGGGAACAGGACATGGAGATGGCTGTGACTGTGTGTCATCTACACACTGATGGTCCTTGAAGTCCCCAGGATGTGACTGCCCAAGAGAACATATCTGAAGAGAGGAAGCACAAGAATTGTACCTTGGGAAAGCTCGTATTTAGAGCATGGAGATGGAAGAATCAACAAAGGAGACAAAGCATTAGTGGTTAGAAATTGGTAGAAAGGGGAGGTGTTGCAAGGAGAGGGGAGGAACTAGAACCATTCTGTGTGACAGAAATTAACAAGAACGTTCCAAGATTGAGTAGCCTGCAGAGAAAACTGTCAGGAAGGTGCAAAGAAAGGCCGTGGATTTGGGAGGCTACCGGTCCTTGGTAACCTACAAGGGAGCAGCTTCTGTGGCATGGTGGTCATAGAAAAGCATGATGGATTAAAGAGACAGTGACAGGTATGAAAGCAGAATCAGGGAATATCTTTCAGAAATTCTTGCATAAAAGGATAGGAAAGATGGAGGACTCACTACAGCGTGGAAGGACTGATAGGTTTTGTGTTTTGTTGGCATAGGAGAGATTATACATTTTTATGAGCTGAAGAAAAAAGAAAGAAGTTGAAGAATCAGTGGATAATCCAAAAATACCAGGCATGATCCCTTCTCGAGTTCTTACCTGGCTCGTCTCGCTGCCTAGAATTCCTCTTCCAAATATCCACACATCTTGCCTACTTCAAGCCTTTGTCTAAATGTCCCCAGTTGGTGAAGCCTACCCTGGCCACCCTATTTAATGGGCCACTAATTTGGAAGCCTCCTGCACACCAATCCCCCTTAACCTGCCCTATTTTTCTAAAGCATCTTATCACTTGTTGTTGTGCTCCATAATAGACTTACCAATTTATAATATTTATTGTTTCTATCTCCCCCCAGCTGGAATGTAAGCTCCATGAGGATAGGAATCTGTTTTATTTTATTTTATGTACATTTTTTTGAGATGTAGTCTTGCTCTTCTCACCCAGGCTGGAGTACAATGGCATGATCTCGGCTCACTGCAACCTCTGCCTTCCAGGTTCAAGCAATTCTCCTGCCTCAGCCTCCCAAGTAGCTGGGATTACAGGCATGTGCCACCATGTCTGGCTAATTTTTGTATTTTTAGTAGAGATGGGGTTTCATCATGTTGGCCAGGCTGGTCTCAAACTGCTGACCTCAGGTGATCCACCTGCCTTCGGGTGAGCCACCACCTCCAGCCTAGGAATGTGTTTTATTCACTGGTGTATCTCAAGCACCTTGAACACTCTCTTGCACGTAGCAGAGTCTAAGTAAACGTCTTTTGAATGAATGAATGAACTCTACCATGTTTCACCTGCAACCTGGCACACTTTTTCTCCCTTGCCCTGTACTGTTTTGGCTTTTCTTCATATATGACATACCAATGTATTACATTTAGTATGTTTTCTATCTCCCACAGTAGCAATCAAGCCCCACAGGAACAATGATTTTGATATGTTCTGTTACTGATATACCCCAAGCACCTAGAATTGTGCATGACACATAGTCGGTGCTTAGGAAACACGTGGAATAAATGAATCAGTGAAGATTCAGAGATTGAAGGAAATGAGATTAACAGTCTATGTTTGCCTGGGAGAGGGTAAGAGATGCATGTCCTCTGAGACCGGAGAAGAAAAGTACACAGATAAAATATCATCAAACCACTGAGCAGGCGTACAGAATCAGGAGCCAGGGGGTACACAATCAGGCATTTGTTCAAATCTGTCTCTGCCACTTACTAGCTGTGCGATTTGGGGGCAAGTTACCTCCCTTCTCTGCTTTCACTTCCTCCTTTGTAAGATAGGAATAATAGTATCTGACTCATAGCGTTGGTGGTGAGGATTAAAAGAATTAATACATTTAAAATATTTTAAAGAAGCTGGACACCGTGTCTCATGCCTGTAATCCTAGCACTTTGGGAAGCCAAAGTGGGAGGATCACTTGAGGCCAGGAGTTTGAGACTAGCCTGAACAACATAGTGAGACCTCATCTCTATAAGAAATGAAAACATTAGCTGAGCATGGTGGCACAGGCCTGTAATCCCAGCTGCTTGGCAGGCTGAGGTGGGAGGGTCACTTGAGCCCAAGAGTTCAGAGGCTGCTGTGAGCTGTGATGGTGCCATTGGACTCTAGCCTATGTGATAGAGCAAGACCCTGTCTGAAAATTAATAAGTAAATTGGGCTGGGCGCAGTGGCTCATGCCTGTAAGTAAGCCAGCACTTTGGGAGGTTGAGGTGGGTGGATCACCTGAGGTCGGGAGTTCGAGACCAGCCTGGCCAACATGGTGAAACCTGGTCTCTACTAAAAATACAAAAATTAGCCAGGCACGGTGGCGCATGCCTGTAATCCCAGCTACTCGGAGGCTGAGGCACGAAAATAATTTGAACCCAGGAAGTGGAGGTTGCAGTGAGCTGAGATCATGCCATTGCACTCCAGCCTGGGTGACAGAGCAAGACTCCGTCTCAAAAACAATAATAATAAATAATAAAATATTTTAAACAGTGCCTGGTACATAGTAAGCACTATAAAAATTAGGTGGCGGTGGTGATAGCAAAGTGAAAAAAAAAAATAAAAGTAAGTGGGGAATTAAATATGCTAATAACCATGGGGCTTAACCTGGAAGGGAAGGCGGGAGGACAATATGGAACCAACTTAGATTTAACAGTGAGTTTGGGTTTGGGGATGAAGTTGGGAGGGAAAGTCGACAACTGATTCTGGTTCTATTTGTGACTGTGGTTACATTTGGTGAGCCTGGCTAGTTAGAGCTGCAGGAACCCTGGGTTTCACTAACCTCCTACTCTGAAGAATAGATTAAAAAATGAAGATCAGAGTTTTAAAATACAGATATTTTTCTCTACAGACAAATTCCAATTCCTGAAAACTTGTATGAATAAAATAATAGAACTGATTTTTTCCGCTTTGAGATCTTTTTGGTTTTCGTTTTAGTTTTGTAGGTATTTTGTAATTTTTTATGTTTCAATGTTTAGAGAAAGATCTAGGGGATTTGAGGCAGGAAACACAAAAGGCCAGGCTAATCACACAAACAGCGCCCACTACAATGGCTGCAATGGGCCACGCATCTCTGGAAAAGACAGTTCCCCAAAAGAGTGCCTGGGGAAGGCAGATAAAAGACCGAAGTTGGGTCATGTGACAGGTGTCACTTGAGTAACGATACTGGGGCCAGAGATGAAAGCCCACTCCTTCAGGTCACATGACCCAGCTTCATTACGCTCCCAGCAGGGGGTGAGAGAGTCTGGATGCCATTTTTACTTATTTATTTATTTGTGTTTTTTCCCCTTATTCTGTGATAATGAGAAAATGTTTAAACTCCCATCTCTGTGTTTAAACATTTCTTCCTGCTGACAGCAGCGGGATACCCCTTGATCAACTGTCAGATTGGAAAGTGCAATTTTTCTGGAAAGTAAACAGCATGTTAGCTGGTTGGAAATAATTTTCTGTTTATTGGTAGCTGTTACTCTAGGAGTGATGGAGCCTTGTGACAGCACTTGTCAAGTGAAGAATAAGAAACAAGTTTGGAAATACCTTTAAGACATAGCTCTGACAATAGGGCCTTATGAGTTTTTGATAGAAATGAACTCTAAAAAAAGTTAAATTAAAATGGGCAAAAAAACTTTTCCAGTATTGCCGACTCTCGGAGATCTTTCTGGCAAAACTGACAGAGAATCAAAGGCAAACTCATGGAATGCTGGATGTGGATGGGTCCTTGGCAGGCACAAAACCCAACCCCTGTGTTTTACCGGGGAACCTTGGACCCTTCACATAAATAAGAGGAAAGCTGCTG